TGCTCTGCGAAGGTAATTGAGAAGAAATAACAAAGAGAGAGTTGGCAGTTGCAGAATAAATGGATGGAAGCCTCTTAAGGTGGTAGTCGAAGCTGATGAGATGAGAAGATACAGAGTGTCATAGTGAGGTTTGTGCAATAACAAGTTGTATAAGTGTTCAAGAAATCCGGTCATCAATCCTAAACCCGTCTACAAGTCAATCACGCCCCCGAATACGTATCTACGTGTCTACGTCCTTGAAATTAAAACGAAAAGGGTATTATTGTCAAGCGTACAGAAGTAGAAAACGGCATTAAATACTACTCTTGGCTCAAGTGTTTCACGGTTTTTGACCGATCTATGTATTTTAAACAATATGATTACTTTGAATTAGGCCACATACACATAACTTGCATTTGTGTTAGAAATTCAGCTTAGTGCACTGAAGTACAAATGTTAGTCTCTCCTGGTAATAAAATCTGAAATACTCGTTTCTGTATGAGTCCACTGTTCTTGCTTGAACACAAGATCTATTTGCCAGTAACATGTTACCCAAATACTTAATTTACATGGCTTAGAATTTGATTTACCACTAACAACACTAAATTGCTCTGATAGAAACACAATATTGTCTGAAGAGAATATTAATATAACACATGTCTTATGCTTACGCAGATGTCCATGGATCACAAAATATTTTTGATAGATTTAAATTTGCAAATGTGGGAGTGTACATAACTAAAAATATTGACTAGATATTTTCTCACAAATTAAAGATAGCTTAATTGATCTTAAATATGCATAACATTTCTGAACCACATGGTTTACTTTAATGTTTACATAGAAATATGTGTTATCCTTAAATTATGTTTCCAATAACCACATTAAATTTTTATGATTTGATTTCTGGACAGTGTTCGAATTATTTTTAAAAAAATATGCAAAAGTTACAGGAAGTGCTCGTTGTTCTTGTTTTATATCTGAAAGTAAAGACAATGATTTTATTACATAATTAATAGATCCATTTTCTATGTTTCTAGTATTGATTTCTAGATTTTTCATAGAATGACTTTACTTACAGAATGAGAGAGCCTAATCGGTATTAGACAAACATATTAACTGAACACAAATTCATGAATAATAATTCTACATTCTAATATAAAACAGTATACACAATTGCAATAACTGATTATTCAGTCTTTATAACAAATTCCAGGCGTTTTTCGAGGGCTTCAGTAGTATGATGTGTGTACATTTGATGCATTGATTGTCTTCTGAAACTTGCTGGGTAGTAACTTACCCTCTTACTTCCTGGCGTACACGTACTTGTTGAAATTCTGAAACAAAATTAAATAAAGATTTGTAACTCCGCGAAAAATGAGAGGTGCAATTGAAGTATTTGCACGTAATATTAAATAAACGAGTTCTGAAGTGCATGTATGCAAACCTCTTTGCAAAAATTTTCATAGTTTAAACACGCTTTGAATAATTCAGGTGAGAATTTATTCACATAACTACTTTTATATACATGGGGGAATATAAAGGCTACTTTGTATTCATAAATGTATTTATTCTACGATTGTGTACTAAGGCCACTGAATATGCGTATTTTGCCACAAGCCACCCAGCAAAGCGCATTGTTCAGTGGGGAATAAATACTGAAATCACTGGAGCACTTCTAAACTATATAACAGATGACGTGTTCAAATGCGTAATTCGACTTTACTTAATAGCAAAGACCTAGACGATTTGCGGAAATGTGTAATGAAGATTTGGAGACTATCGATATTAGTAGAATATCACTAAGATGATTTAATTTTTACGGAGTGCTGACTAATTCTTCATGTAAGATTTGAGGCTTTCACGGCGGTGACTATGAA